TCCTCCTCCCCCCCCCCGGGGGGGGGGGGGTTGCGGGGGAATCCCTGGCTCGGGCTCCTCCCGGCTGGTGCAGACAACAAAGAAAGGGCTGCCGGAGCCGATCCTCGCACCCAGGCAGCCGGCGGAGCTTTTTATTTATTTTTTTTCTCTCTCTCTCTGGGCGAACTCTTGGGAAGCCGCGACAGGTTGTTCAGACTCGGGGTGGTTCACGATGCACCATCTGGCTGGGGCTGCTTCCGTGGGCTGTGTTTGCTGCCGGAGCCAGAGAGGGTGTTTTTGTGAATCCCGAAAGCAGCAGGGATTTTGCTCGCGACCAGTCATCTGCAATTGATAGTAGGATTCTGGCACCGTTCCTTACCTGCTGTGGGTAGAAATGTTTTCCTCGTACGCGTCGCTCCCTACCCCCGGAGCGCACAGCAAGCTTAGCACATGCTTTTCCTCTGACAAAATCACTGCGATCCAAGGGGATGGTAAAACCCCAAACCCCTTCTCCAGCCACTGAGATTTTGCATCTTCCCAGTATAACCAATGGCTCAGCCTGCTCCTCTGTTTTCCGGAGGCACTGGCATCTCCCCGTGGGCTCAGCCCTGCTCAGCAGTTAATTTTCCTACGCGGTGTTCCCCGGAGCCTGGAACGTGGAAGGGGATGCGGGTGCCCTGCGTCGCGGCAGCCTCCTTTAGGTGCTCTGCTGGAGGACTTGCTTTGGCTGGAACAGATGGGGACAAAACGGGGCTGGGCTCAGGAGCATTGGCTTTGCCACAGTGTTTATGCAGGTCTCAAACTTCGATGGGCCAAATCCTGAGGGTCCTGCTCCAAGTTTTACTCGACCTTTAACGAGACAAAAGCCTTGACTGTCTCCCTGCTCGTCCCTTCCCTGCTCTAGGGGAGCACCTGCGAGAGGGGAATTAATGTCGACAGATTCTGAGATATTGCTGAGCCTGACTCAGGCAAATCCCCTTGGGAGGGAGCAAACGCTGAGTAAGGACTTCAGGAGCTCATCGGAGAGATACTGGGTCAAGAGAAAATCACTGCGTCGCACTGGGTGCAGCGTTACAGGGTGACGGCGATGGGCAGAGAGGTGTTGCGGGGCGGGTGGGTGGTGGCCTTTCCCCGTCACCCGGCAGCTGGACAGGCGGCTCCGCGTCGGTGGTGCTGCCTGCTCTGTTCCCAGGCATCGCTGAAAGCAGCAGCAGCAGCAGCAGGATTTGTAACGAAGGATCGGTTCAAAGCGAGCTGGCTTTGTGTGTGTCTTATGCTTTATCTCAGAGAGCCAGGAGGAGGACGCGTAACCTGCAGTCTAGACT